TAAAAATGTCATTTTTATACTGAATGATATGAAACTTTTCTTTTTTAACAATGTCATTGATGGTTTAAGTTTGAACAACATTAGAAAGTGTGAATGTCATCAAACATTGACACCTAATTATGTTTCTGTTGATTGTATTATGTTGTGAAGTCACTGATTGATCTCTTTCTTATGACGTCATATTAGTCTGTCTTTTAACACGCTCATAGTCGTTTAAGTAATTAGTTTACAAATTATCCAGTTAGTTTTTTCTTCTTCTGATTTTTCTCTCCTTGAACGACGATAATACTACTGTGCAATATACAAACGGGAAAATATGATGAGTACCTGTTTGATATATTCACTTTGATGGATTTAGATGGAATTAAAAAGTAAAAATCAATGTGTTCATTTCATCCAAAATAAAAAATTGCCGGCGTCTATTCAATTTAAATGTCGATTAAAAAAAGACTAAGACATAATATCGATAAATATATATTGTAAACAAAGTAGGTTTTGTCAAAGAATGGATTGCAACTAGGTAAAACTGAGTATAAACTGGAATTTTACTGAAAATGATAAAAAGTGGTCTGTAGATACGAAATTTACATAACCAATGCGAAATACTTATGAGAGAACAGCACGACATAACGTTTAACAATGACAGACAAAAATGCATAATAGTAGGTGGGATGAAGAAATGAGAAATTCAATCTATCATTCTATTGAAGTTACACGAAGTTTTGCACACGAAACGGTCGTTGTGTTTACAGGCTCTGAAACTTACAGTTCGCTAACTAACACATCGCGCTATTCTCTCATTTGGGGCTACACGATGCACTATCTGAATTTTAGTTTTGAGTGAGTAAAGATGCCAAAAGCAGCTGTTTGGTGAGGAGCCACCATGAACCTATGAATATCTTAGAAGCCCAATACGCATATCTCCTCTAAACATTGTTTGATGACACTCAAAACTTCGCGATAGACATATTTTTAGACGCTCTTTCTACTGATACCCTCAAAATATCAAAATAATAAATCCAAGTATAATAGGTTTTCTAGAGATCTTCTAAAAAACCAGCGGCTTTCAGAAACCATATTTCGCACTTTTGACCATCAGGATTTGTAGTCCATCTGAAATTGTATCTCTCTTGAAATTTTCACCCTCCTACACGTCTAGGGGGAGGAGATAAACCGTTGTTAAATCATGAAAAACCAACGACACGATAGCATATGACTGGCCTCCACTATTTTGTTTTGTATTCGCCCAAACAAAACCTTTTCTGCATGAATATTTCAAGAGAGATACAATTTCAGATGGACTACAAATCCTGATGGTCAAAAGTGGGTTTTTTTGAAAACTCCAGAGAGTCCTTCTCGAGATATCCGAAAAATGCTGAAAGTCACGCAAACGAAGTCAGTCTTTTTCAGTTTTTGTCGGATTTTCAGCATTTTTCGGAAATAAACTCTTTTCATATGTAGAGTTTATCAGACGAGGTGGCCGAGCGGTTAAGGCGATGGACTGCTAATCCATTTCCCTCTGGGAGCGTGAGTTCGAATCTCATCCTCGTCGACTGTTTCTTTTTACCTTTTCTATTCACAGTCAGAACGTATTAGTTTAGTGCAGAACGGTCACACTCTTTTTGTTCCTAGCCATAAAACCTCATACAATAGGCGTGTAACACTAAATTATAACTCCGTCAGTGTACAAGCTACGAACTTTTCTTTTGGAACTTAAGGGTTTGAAACGATGCTCTTTCTTTTTGTCTCTTGGACGTTTTTTCTAGGACCTTCAGAAATAGGATTTCTAGAAAACCCTGATTTTTGGCCTACTGGCTTTGAGAAAAACGACTTTCTGAAAAAACGCAGTGACCAAAATTCACTTTACAATACAGATTCGGAATCAGCGTGAAAAGGCGGTCATTTCAAAAAGAAATTCGAGGTTCTGATTCAGGTTTTCTAGGAGATTTCTCGAAAACTTTACCACTAAAATACGCTAACTTTCGGATTTTGACCTATATCCTAGCTTTTTCGCTATTTTAGCGTTCATAGCACTTTATAATGACCATCAATAGATAACTATAGACATATGTCTAGACAGACAACTGGGCTAGAGAGAGCGGGGGCAGACAGACAGAGAAAAAGGAAAAAAGAGAGAAGAACAGACGGCACCTGCACTCGCTCGCTAGTTCTCTTTCTGTGCACTAACAGACTACTGTAATTTCATTTCATTCTTATAAAAAAAATATAAGTGTCACATTATTTAGTTTTGTTTTCACAGTCTAGCTATTATGCCTAACGCCTGTTTAGTATTACTTATCTATTGATGGCCATTACAAAGTGCTATGAACGCTAAAATAGCGAAAAAGCTAGGATATAGGTCAAAATCCGAAAGTTAGCGTATTTTGGTGGTAATGTTTTCCAGAAACCTCCTAGAAAACCTTGATTACGTGATACTCAAACGTCAGCAAGTATCTAGTTTTGTTCAGCGTTCATTTTTGCATCGGCTGACATTTAAAAGAAAAATTTTCTGCGCATTTTCTCTATTTTGTAAAAATTTCAATAGCTGAAACGTGGGACTTTGAAAGGTTTTGAGAATACATTCCCTCTTAATGATCCGCTTAAACTTTCGCAAACCCCTACGTTTGTTTAGAATTTAATTCTCTATTTAATGGCGTTTGAACGAAGTTTCTATGATCCATCGTTAAGGAGTTATTTGAAATTTAAAAAAAGTGGAAAATTTAAACTTTAAATTTTATTTTAAAATTTAAAATTTTGAATTAGAACCTCGAATTTCTTTTTGAAATGACCGCCATTTCACGCTGATTCCGAATCTGTATTGTAAAGTGAATACCGTTGACGAAAACACTCCACAACATTTCAGCCTAAAATTCACCAAATCCTTACAAATTTCAATTTCGTTGTGAACAAAAGCTTTTAATTTCACGAATTTCATTCTGCCTTTCAATAGCAATTAAACATATTTCATTCTCTCCAGCAAAGCAAAAACGTTTTTCTCTCCTTTCCGTCTGCATGAACCAAATGCTATAGAAACAGCTACTTTTCCAACTGTGAACCACCATTCTTGAACACAAGAACACAAGCGTTTACTGAAGAAAAATTCGAAACCCGTAAAAATTCTCATGTATACACTTGACTCGCAACCTTCTTGTATTAACCCTATTGGTCATTGTATTGGTCACCATACATGCTGTCACCATATGTGAATGAAAGTGTCCATCTAGTCGTCTCTAATCTTGGAATTAATAACTTGGATCATTTTTTTGATCAACTTTGATGATTTTTAGAGAATGTAACCGTGTCCTCAAGATAAATGGAAAACTTGCGTTAACAACCAATTTAAGTGGACATTGGTAGGAGTTTTACAACATATTTGAAGAGACAGTTTATCAACTTGGAAAAAATGAACTACTAAAAAGATTAAAAGAAGATCAGAAACATCGTAGTACAATAGAACAGATTTCCAGTTTACTGATCAATACTGGCTTCACCATTCGTCGGCATTTTGAAGATAAGTTTGAAATGACATTTTTGACCGGCACATCATTTTTGAATCACTATTTTATCAAACTTGGCTGGCTTTCATCTTGGAAAAACATTATTTTAGAAACTGATCAGGAGAGTGTATTTAAACAGCTCGAAGAAAACTTAAATGCTTTTGCACAAATATCGGGTGAACTAAAATTAACAGTTCCAATAGCGTACATTGAGGGGGAGAAAACGTAATCATCTGTAACGAAATTTTACTTACCAAGATTACAAAACCCAACAAAAAAGCACGAAAGAACGAACTATAGTAATTACTCGACACAAAGACAGTAAGAAGTCGAGAAAAGTCTTTTCTTCTCATTTTTAGCCGGTCCTTTTATCCTATTGTTAGTTGAATGAGCGATAGATTTGTGAAAACAACGAAGTTTTAATCGACCATTATACACATTAATCTCGTTGTCGGTTACCCAAGAGCAAAATTACTAAACTAAAGAGAAGCATAAGATAAAAGTACGCATTGTGAATTCTTTTGTTATTATAACTGGATCAAACGCCAAATAAAGCGAAGAACAAGCAACAAATGAGTATTGCGACTATAATATGATCTAAAGAAAGAAAAAGAAACCAAAACAAATCCTTCCCAATCCGGGAACACAAATTTCAATTTCGTTGTGAACAGAAGCTTTTAATTTCACGAGTTTCATTCTGCCTTTCAATAGTAATCAAATATATTTCATTCTCTCGAGTACAACTTGTGTACTTCAGACTGCCAGAAAAACTGGAGAAGGATACCTTCAAATTTATTAACTTTTTACTCTGGGAAGTTGCCAGAATAAACACTAGTTTCATGCTGAAGGGACTCTTTCTTTTGGATAAAACGATAACCTTTGTTCTCTTCTCCATTTCTTGCTTTGTATCTGTGTCTCTGTAGTATGCATAGAAAGAAGAAAATATTAAAGTTTCATCTAGCTGAACTAGTGCATGGAAAAATGGTTCGCCTATAGTTAGTTTAATTATTATTCTGGTAGTTGGCAGAATATAGAATGCTGAATTAAGACTACCATGACCCGAAGAGAAAGCCGAAAAGTCATGCTAGTCAAGAACTCCTTAACAAATGATTTCGCGTGTTAATTGGCAGAGAAAGTACATCTATGGCTCATATTCAGCTCCGTTATTGACAGTCCTGTGTCTCATAAAGTAGACTGTACCCTTTTCTAAAACATGGCTCGGCGTATAGTATATCTTCAAACTGACATAGAAAACGAAGAGGTGTACATTCCAGTGAGTTTTATTTTAATCTATTAATTTCACAGAATATAGAGTAATTTTATAGTGAGTGCAGCGAACATTTGGATTAAAAGCAAAAAAAAATTCTTCCTTCTGGTATCTTTGTTGATTTGTGTAAGAATGTTTATGTGGCTGACCATAATCGATACTCTATTCAAAAATTCGCAGTAAATAATTCAACTGGAATAACAATTGCTGGCATTGTCCATGAATCAGGTTCAGATATGAGCCATCTAAACGTTCCACATGATGTAGCAGTTGATCTCTACGGTAATCTCTATGTTGCTGATATGGGTAATCATCGTATACAATGTATAATTATGAAAGATGGCGTCCGAATAGCAACTCAAACAATAGCTGGTGTATCAGGGAATACAGGGAGTAGTGATGGATATTTGAGTCGCCCATGTGCCATAGCTTTCGATTTTAAATGGAATTTATTTGTTACAGATCATAATAATCATCGCGTACAAAAGTTTTTGTGTGAAGGAGGCGATTTGTATTGTTAAATTTTTTTTCCTGTAGAAGTTAATGCGTTAACAATGATTTAATTTTATATTCCCTTGACTGTCCTTGACTCATGTCCCTTGGTTGAAAATGATGTGCAATAGGTATTCGATCAACACTGTGAAATACTGTTAAGTTGGAAAGTGGCGGTACTTGGGACCGATGGTACAATAAAAAGTAGACCAACAGCTGAACAGCTCTGTGACTCCAGTGGAAAATCAGTGGACTAGCAAACCTTACTTGGCTCAACTTGATGGGATAAAATGATATGGAATAGGTATTCGACTATGAGCAATTAGAAAATGGCTATGAACGACCTCTAGGATCGATTCTGTTGGTCAAAAATTTCATGCCAGCTGAATAGGACGAAAATAGTATTCCCTTGACTGTAAAGCAAAGGTCTTAACGAGCTAAAGTGTACGGAAATTGCTAAATTCTACTGGGGTCTATGTGTGGTTCAGGACTGAGTAGAACTTCCGGTTATTAATTACGTGAGCAAGGGGAAGCATCATGCCAGTGAGGTGTCTAGCGAAAATACCTCCAGCTCATGCTAAGTGATAATTAAGAAAAAACTGCTTCGGTCGGAAGAAAGCTCGACCCATTAACGAATGTGCATCGAAGCAAGCGTGAGGGTGGTACTTTCTATTTCCTAAGGTGCACGCAATGCAAAAATGAATGACATCTTTATTTTTAAATAAATTATACATATTCTGATTCACCAGAGCACGAAGATTACGAATCTCATCTTACTTTTTGTATTGGAGCGAATTTTCAGGGAAATAATGCGAAATACTGAGAAGGCCTCAAAATCACCTAAAAGTGGGCTTTTCGAATAAAATCGATTTTCTCTAGTCCGTGAAATTTTATTGCCTTCTGGTTTTTCCCATGATGCTTAGCATCACAGAAGGAACAAGAAGAGCTATTTCCGATTCACATATAATGTGATCTGGACATTCCTACCCTTTCAGCAGGGTTCCAGAACGCGACCTATGCTCACGAAAAAAGAATCAAGTCTCTCTGGTTAAAGGATAGAGACTTGAATAATACCTCATTTGAACCGCTGAATCAAAGCAAACAAAGCTACGTATCGCCTCTTTTTATTTCTTTTCATTGCTGAGAAACTGAGGTTTCTTTGAACCGTAGGCTAAATCCTGGAAATAACCTTCAAGTTATTTCCTAATAAGTAATTTATTTTTGACTTTTTTTCTATTCTGTTATCGACTTATACGTAAAAGACAACGTAGAATTCAATAGGACTAATGTGAGGGTTTCCAAAGGGTCTCTGGAAAACCCTATGTCAAAAAATGTGGATTTCTTGAGCTTTCAGTGATTGAATTCGCTGATATTACAATAAGTTTATTAAAAAACAACGTAGAATTCAATAGGACTAGTGTAAGGATCTCCCGAGGGTTTTCAGAGACCCTCTGGAAACCTTAGGCCAAAAACACAGAGTTTAAAACCGGTTACGCTTGTAGGTTTGACTTCCAAAGTAAAAAGGTTAGTTTCAGTATTTTCCAGTCTGCTTCTTGATTTTTCTTGCTTACAATATACTGTCACACGTAATTAACATACACGACTAAAAAACTGTTCAAAACAACGAAAAAACAAAAAAGCTGTTTTAAGCCCATGAAACTGACTGTGGTATACGCCTATGAGACTTTACTGTACCAACGCAAAGGTTACTATAGAAACGCTGAAGCACTTCAGCATAACTTTGTCCATTTGCATAGGCTTCTAGTGCCTTTCAGAATCTTCTTACTAATTTTCGATCGATTTCACTGTTCTCGAAACATTCACGTGATTGATCAATTAACACAGCAGCGTTGGAAAAGTTTAATCTGTTTTTTACTAACAAACGCCTTCATTGAACACCAAACCGATTCTATCGAATTAAGCTCGCAATGAAATTTTGGACAGTAGATAACTTTCATTTTTTACTTGATGCCCAGTTGCTTAAGTTTTGTGCTCTATGAATATGAAGGAAAAAAGAAATTTTGAGCTTCAACTGAGGTCTAAAATTTTTTGTTTAATCCTGGTTTTAAAGCCGGATGTTGGCTCAACAAATCTCGCAGTTCTGGCAATAAACATCCAGCTGGAACATTGACATATAGATCTTTTGCCGGTTCTAACATAAGTCAATAACAGAACAGAAAAAAAGTCAAAAATAAACTACTTATTAGGAAAATTTTCAACCGCTGATAAATACAAAGCCGGATTTGAGAAGAATGATATTGTTCTATCAATAGCTGCTTTGACTAACGAAGACCCCATTAATGTTATCAAACGGTAACGTTTCTTCTTTGCGTTG